GTCCAGGTGCACCTACTTCTGATAAAGAGACAAAGAAAAAACATGTTATTGATAGAAATAATTACAATAAACATGTAGAGAAGAGAGATTAAAGTCAGCAGCAGGGTGAGGAAATGTGCTGTTTGTGCTCCAGGAGTCTAAGTCTATAGCAGCAGAAATGAAGAATAATTCAGGAAACCTAAGTCTAACTATAGGATTTATCAAAAAGGAAAGTCTTCAGTCTAATTTTAAAAGTGTCAGCCTCACGGACAGAAACTGTAAGTTGGTTCCACAAGAGAGGAGCTTGATAACTGAAAGCTCTCCCTCCCATCTCTAGGAACCACAAGTAAACCTGCAGTCTGAGAGCGAAGTGCTCTGTTAAGAGAGTATGGAACAATAAGATCTTTAATATATGATGGAGCTTGGTTGTTGAGAGCTTTGTATGTTAGGAGTAATATTTTAAATTCTATTCTGAATTTGTCAGGGAGCCAGTGGAGAGAAGCTAGAACTGGAGAAATATGGTCTCCCCTTCCAACTCTTATTAGAACTCTAGCAGCAGCCTTTTTAACTGAAGACTCCTTAAAGAGTTTTTTGGATGCCCAGATAATAAAGAATTACTTTTAGAATTAATTTTAGTTGATTATTTATTTGTTGCAACAATGCTTCTTTGTGATAAATTATACTGTTGAAAAATCTGGGAATTACCCCCTAAATAGCCACANATGCTCTGTTTGATCACACACTGTTGTGGGATGGCATGACATTTTTCAGGCAGCATTTGTCACAGATCAGCCAGTGTGACTGTGWTGATCACATTCCCACAGCTGTTTAATTGGATTTACTATGTCACTCCCAGTTCTGGAGGTTGTCTCTGATAAACCCCAATCTGTAGGGGTGAGCATTGTCATCTTGAAAGATAGAGTTTTTGTTCCAGACTGTGGAGATGTGGAATTTCCACCGGTTGCACAGTGACAATCAGGTGCCAGTCAGGCACCTGATTGTCAGCAGCTGGGGTACAAGCAGCTCAAAATAAAAGTGGACAGTAGAAAAATCTGTGTGGTACTGGGGGTAAGTTTTTCATGGTACAACACATACTCAACTCTGCTACTCAACCCACAAATGCATTTTYCTTATAAATATGGTACCATTTAGCWGACATAAACACAYTTTCCTWTGTTRTAAGATTTATTGTCARTAAGTGTTACAACAAAGAAATAATCAACCATATCATCACTGTATGATGGAAAATCATTATGGTTTTCTTTAAGACAGTTTGGAAATCCATCAAGAGATGAAGCTTGGGAATTTGACAATAAACAAAAAATCTACCCCTGACCACATGTTTAATCMRGATTCTGACCTGRACTTTGTAAAATCTCTATCTTCTAGAGCCATGGTCCAATGGTGCCGGCTTCTGCCAATCATCCACAGCGCTCAGCGAGTCCTCGTCCATCCACAGCGATGCCCTGTACCACCTGGGCAGAGACATGTCTGGGATCGGCATGAAGCCCATGCCCTACAACCTCCTGGAGCCCAATACTTTCAAGGAGGAGCCCTGGGGTGAGGAGTCCCAACATCTGCTGCAGGTACTTTTTAGAAACCAGTCTGAAACTTAGACTTCTGAGGTTTASGTTCGGGTGACACAGTATTCATAAAACACTCAGCAGCTTGTTGAACGGAGMTAAAGATGGGATGTTTCCTGTCAGTGCAATGTTGCATAGCATTGCAACATTTTGAGTTTAGCACTASGTCTCATTAAAATGACTTCAGATGTCACGCTGTAGTAATGAAGGAGGCAATCATTTTTAGGGTTTATTGTGTTTGTGCCATTATACAAAAAGTTTGGTTCATTCTGCAGGAGGACAGAAGGAGGTAAAACTGCCTTTACGAAAACAAGCTCCAAAATTGTTAATGARAAGATCCGATAAATCTAACAATTTWGAAAAAATTAGGATGTTGTAAAAATGTAAATAACACAGATTGCAATGATTTACAAATCTCATAAACCCATATTTTTTTATTTACWGTGGAACATAATAAAAGTATGAAATTCTTCAGCTAAAAAAGTATGATTAATTCGAAAGATAAAGTWTTTTGAAACATTTGACAGCAACACATCAAACAAAAGTGGGGCAGGGGAAACAAAATACTAATAATCTAATTGGYAACAAGTCAGTGAAAGGACCTGGTATAAAAATAACAAGTTATAGCAAGAATGGGCACTYGTGGTCCTAGGGCTGCTATCCTGCATGTTTTACTTGTTTCCCTGCTCCAACACACCTTATTCAGTTACTGAATTACCTCTTCATGTTCTACAGAAGCTTGTTTATCACCCATTTGTATCAGGTGTTTTGGATAGAGGACCAGGATKGCCCATCCCTGAGTTGGAGAGACTGAATCTCTAAGAATGGGCAGAGGTTCACCAGTCTGCAAAAAGCTGCAATTTCAGAATAATATATAACCTTAGCCATCCATCCATCCATCCATCCATCCATCCATCCATCCATCCATCCATCCATCCATC